GGATGGATGAGTGGTTGGGTGGATAGAGAGACAGACAGAATGACCAACAGTCTCTCATGCTAAGACAGTTTCCACTCTTGATATTTGACGCTGAGTTACTCTCTGTGGTGGGAGCGTCCTCTGCACTGTAGGGTGCTGAGCAGGGTCCCTGTTTTCCACCCACCAGCTGCCACTCACACATCCCAGCCAGTTGTGACGCCCCCAAAATATCTCCAGACCTCGTCCAATGTCCACAGTAGAACTGTTAACTCTCCAAGTTCTTTGCTGTTTGCGTCAGAGGTGGAACCCTCTGCCACCTTTCTGTTCTGCGGACTTGCTGAGGATAAAGGCCTGCTGGTCCCTGTCGCTTGATTTGTTCTCTGCTGAGTCCTCTGATCAGGGTTTCTTAACTGGGCCATTTCTCTGTAGTATTTTGCCTCTTAGCCGTCAAAGAGAGCAGAGGTCAGCTGACAAGACAGAGGAGCAAGGCATTACAGAGGAACGGGGTCAGCGGGGCGGAGCAGGGGATGCTTTATAATGTAAAAAAGAGAAACTCTCCATATAACGGTCCATTGACTGCATGAGTCAAAATGAGAAACAAGAAACATGATTACCTTTTATAATATTTCCCCCTCATGCGCAATTTTGGATCCTTCTAGTGGTACCCTAATAGGATGGGGTATATGTCATTCCATATGAAGTTTCCTTTGCCTGACTTGGTCTTATTAAAACAATGCAATGATGAAAAGGGTTATTTGAAGAGTCAGAAGCAATTGAGGTGAGCGGTTTTTGCGGTCGAAGGTCATGTTGCCTGCACTCAGCCAACATTTATAGCTGAAAGGTGCTTCCTATGGATGGCTCTTAGGGGAGTAATTACCCAGCTAAAAATTGGGATCCGCTTTGAGGCTCATGGGTGTTTATGAGAAAAAGTGGACCTGGCTGTCATCTGCTGAATTAGCTATGAGCTCTTTGTGTCCTCTGCAGACATAGTTCCTTTTATTTAGGTGACGAGGGGAAACAACAAATGGTGTTACGATAGGTGTGTTTCACTGAGCAGAAGCACTGACCCAGGGTGACCGCCCGACAACAGAGCAGAGTTCAGGATTCTCCATTCATCTTATAATTCATTCTCCAGGGATAAACGTTGGGGATTGTCCGGTGCCACTAACAACGGCGGAGAAACGAGGAATTTCTGTACCAGTCAGGGAAGCATCAATTGTCTAGGCGGAACCAAAACCCAGAACACGCCAGGATGTTTACAAATGACTTAAATCATCCATCGGAACCGGCAACTCGTTTCTGTGAAGTCGGGGTGGCCATGTTCACCTGCCAAACTTTTCACTTTTGTACTTTATCTTAGAGAATCTCCTTCTCTCATTATATGGAAAACTGCTTCTGATGCCTGTTTTATTTTTTTGTTTGGTGTTTTGTCCATTTTGTCCATTTTTTTAAATTGATTTATAGTCAGTTTACAATTTTTTTTGTCCATTTGGCTGCCTATATGTCTTTGGTATGACTCCCAATCGCAAGCAGAATTTCCAATGAGGGGCTGTTTCCACCAGCTTCCTTCTAAAGCCTAAATCCCACCAACCACATTAGCATCCTCCAGGTCTGAATTCCCAGCCTCGAATATGCCTGAACTGAATGAAAGCCGGTTAAAACAATGGGTCTGTTTCCTTGCTGCCTTAGACATGGACACTGCAGACAGGAATGTGCTTTGAGAAGAGTACTGTTACAATGTTTTGCTTCGTTGCCCCCTGGGCAGGCTGGGAGATCCTCCCCAGAGGGGACTGACGAAGTCACTATGTCTGACTGCAGTGTTTTATTTTCTAGGTTCAATAGCATACAGGCCTTGTCAGAAACCTCGTTTGCGGGACTGACCAAGTTGGAGCTGCTGATGATTCACGGCAACGACATTCCCAGCATCCCCGATGGGGCTTTAAGAGACCTCACGTCTCTCCAGGTAAGCCCAGGCGTTATGAGTGACATTGATTGCAGCCTGTAGGACCACGAAGGGAATGAATGAAACAGCATTTAAAAAAAAAAAACAACGAGCTTAATGTCATTTGTTTCCTGCCCTTTGTTCTGGTTTTGTTTTTGTTTCTGTTTTTTAATTGTAAACAGGATTTTCCGCCCTCCCTGTCTTTGCAGGTCTTCAAGTTCAGCTACAATAAGCTTCGAGTGATCACGGGGCAGACCCTGCAGGGCCTCTGGAATTTAATGAGGCTCCACGTCGACCACAACAAGATCGAGTTCATCCACCCGCAAGCTTTCAGCGGCTTAACGTCCCTACGGCTCCTCCACCTGGAGGGGAACATGCTCCACCAGCTCCACCCCGCCACGTTCTCCACGTTCTCCTTTCTGGATTATTTCAGACTCTCCACCATCAGACACCTCTACTTGGCGGAGAACAGGATTAGAACCCTCCCCGCCGGCATGCTCCAGAACATGCCACTGCTGGAGAACCTTTACCTGCACGGGAATCCGTGGTCCTGTGACTGTGAGATGAGGTGGTTCCTGGAATGGGATGCGAAGTCCAAAGGTAAGAAGAGCCAGCGTGACTCCTGGATGCCCTCTCCTTACCTTTCTGCAAAGATTCCTTTCTCCAGCATGCCAGTGTTGCTCCATCTTGGGTCGGGTTAAATCCCATCCCCAAATCAGCGAGGCAGGAAATGTTATAACTTAAATGTCAAGACACCCCCCCCATTGCATAATTCAAACGTGTGTGTCGTTTAGTAAAACGTAGAGTAACCATCATTTAATCGACCATAGACCGTTGACCATGGTTGGCATAGAATGGGTGTCTGGAACATTATTTTTAACCGTGGGCTACAGCTAAAGGTGAGATTTTTCTATGCATCCACGTCCTATGGGAAGTACTCAACAATGCTTGGAAAAGAGAAGGCTGGGGGTGGCTGTGAGACTATGATCTTATTATGGGGGAAGACAGGTGTTCTGTATTGATCCAGAGGACAACCACAGAAACCAGGATTGACATGTAGACGTTGCAAGAGAGTGGATTTTGAATCAAAGTAAAGATTCTCTTTCCCAACCCCTTCTCCAAGCCCCACATGGGAACCCGTCCTCAGAGCCCGTTGGGTTTGCCATCTCTGGGTCTCTGTCCATTTCCGTCCCCACCGCCACCAGCCTGGGGCTGCCTCCTTTCTCAGGTGTCTAAGGAGGCGCGTGGAGCATTCTGAGCGGGTTTTACTGCGATGTTGATGGATCACGTTCCCCTTGAATCAACGCCTGCAGTGGTCAGAACACATTTTTCACTGGTTTTTCACTGGTTTCCACCCACTCCCCATGCTCCTGGCAAGGGGCTGGCCCCACTGTCCTGTGTATTCAGCCACTTCCATCTGCACTGCTCTCCTTTCTGTCCTCTGTCACTCCACTCCAAATCTGGTATCAGGTTTGCTCAGCCAGGCAAGCGATGGGGAAAGACAGTAACATACGCACTGCTTCATAGTCTCAACCAGAAATGTCACATGTCACTTCCACTCATAGATCAGTGCTTGAACCTCCGCAGGTCTGGGCATGGAGAAGGGTGGGGAGTGCTGAAAATCCTTCGGGAGACTCATTTCCCAGCAGAAACGCTACAGTACGGAAATGGAATCGTGAAGCTTTTTCGGTCAGCGAGACATAGTCATTCTGGAGATTCACGCGTGTGCCTTTGTGTGTGTGTATGTGCATGTATGTCTCTATATGTTTGTGTGTTTCCTCTGTGTGTATGTGCGGTGTGTATTATATTTGTGTGTATCATATTTGTGTGTGTGTGTGTGTGTCTGTGTTGGGGGAGGTATGTGAAACCATCATATTTGCAAGTTGGGGGTTTTTGCTTTGAACAATGCATGGAAAACCATGTTCAGTGGCGCAGAAGTAAATAGAGTGACACCAGCTAGAAGGTTTATAATACTCCGAGTCATAGACGATGGGATGTTGGCTGGTTTGTTCCCAGTGGAATTAGATTAAACAAGTAGGCAGATACCATGAAGACTGTCCAAAAAAAAAAAAAATCTTCATCTTCTACTCTCCCCAATAGGAGAGATGAGAGCAGCAGTGACTAATACAGAAAAGCCATGAGACATCCAGCAGGAAAAAAAACATAAGATGGCTCTACAAATGTCCGTTTCAGGGGCCTCTTTACCATTCAAATAGACATGTCAAGTAGGGCGTTGGGTGTGGGGCTCAGGAGGATGTGTTTGGACGGCAGACGCACATGTGGAACTCATCAGGGGCGGGTGGATGGTAATTGAATCCATGCACGTGGGCGAGGCTGTCTACGGTGAGTGCAGAGCAAGAAGTGGGAAGCGCTTACACCAAATCAAGGAACACTTCATCCCTAATGTGTTGGCCGGAGAAGGAGAAAATTCTGGAGGATTTGATGTCCCAGAAGCCAAGCGTGGAACATAAATCCAAAAAAAAAAGTAATCAGTGCCTGAAATGAAAAATTCTAGCAAAAAAAAATAACTATAAAAGGTAGACATGATTCATGCCAAAGTTTGGTCCTGCAACCTGGAAATATTTTCATGGGTTGCAGTTCCTTATGCAGATTCTCCTGGACCTTTGGAAAAGGTAAATTATATAATATCTGTGAATAGAGATTCTTTTTTAAAAAATTTTGAAGGATAATTTATTTACAATGTTTTGTTAATTTTAAGGGTACAGCAAAGTGATTCGTTATATTTATCTATCTACCTATCTGTCCATATATTCTTTCTCAGATTCTTTTGCTTTGTAGGTTCTTACAAGATGTTGAATATAGTTCCCTGTGCTAGACAGAAGGTCCTTGTTGTTTATGTATTTTATATAAAGTAGTTTGTATCTACTGATCCCAAACTTCTGATTTGTTCCTCCCCTCTCCTTTTCCCTTTTGGGGACCATAAGTTTGTTTTCTATGTCTGTGAGTCTCTTTCTGTTTTGTAAATAAGATCACTTGAGTCATTTGTTTTAGATTCCACATATACGTGGTATCATATGATATTTGTCTTTCTCTGTCATAGTTCACTTAGTATGATCATCTCCAGGCCCATCCATGTTGTTAAAAATGGCATGATTTCATTCTTTTTTATGGCTGAGTAGTATTCCACTGTATATATACACCACTTCCTCTTTATCCAGTCACCTGTCGATGGACATTTAGGTTACTTCCATGACTTCCATATTTATAAATAATGCTTCTATGAACATTGGGGTGCATGTATCTTTTCGAATTACAGTTTTCTCCAGATACATGCCTGGGATTGGGATTGCAAGATTCTTTTGTAACTGAAAAAAAAAAACCTTTTAAAAAAGTACTCATTATGAGTAATCACGTTCAAGAAGTGACAAAACCCGGGTGAGTTCCCACACACTGCGCTAAATGGGTTGAAAGTCCGAGGTGGAGTCGGAGAGGCAAGGTGGGCAAAGCATTAGATCATTCTGGAAATGCAGCCCCCGCCCCCAGGTGACAAAACTGCAGATGAGGGCTTTATCCTCTGGCCAGTTCTTTGGTCCCCTGACTTACAGGGTGTGTGTTCGATTATGTGTTTCAGGCATTCTGAAGTGTAAGAAGGACAAAGCTTACGAAGGGGGTCAGTTGTGCTCCGCGTGCTCCAGCCCCGAGAAGCTGCACAAACAGGAGATTCAGAATCTGAAGGACGTCACGTGTCAAAAGCCGTCCATAGAGTCCCCTCTGAGGCAGAACAGGAGCAGGGGTAGCGAGGAAGAGCAGGATGCAGAGGAGGACGGTGACAGCCAGTTCCCATTGGAGGACTTCCAGTATCCCCGGTGGAACGTCTCTCTGAATATGAGCGACGAACACGGGAACACGGTGAGCTTGGCCTGTGACATCAAGAAGCCGATGGACTTGTACAAAATACACTTGAACCAAACGGACACTCAGGAGCTGGATATAAATGCAACCGTCGCCTTGGACTTTGAGTGTCCGATGACTCGGGAAACGTACGAGAAGCTGTGGAAGCTGATCGCCTACTACAGCGAGGTTCCTGTCAAGCTGCACCGAGAACTCGCGCTCGGGATTGACCCCCGACTCGGCTACCAGTACAGGCAGGATGCGGACGACGACACGCTCTACTACACGGGCGTCAGAGCCCACGTCCTTACGGAGCCAGAGTGGGTCATGCAGCCGTCCATCCACATCCAGCTCAACCGGCGTCAGAGCACGGCCAAGACGGTGCTGCTCTCCTATTCGTCTCAGCACGCCCTCACCGTGTCTGCCAAAGACGCGCGGCAGGCGCGGAGCAGGAGCTGGGTGATGATCGAGCCTGGCAGAGCGGTGCAGAGGGCCCAGACGGTCTTGGAAGGGAGCCCGTGCCAGCTGAGCTGCAACGTGAAGGCTTCCGAGAGCCCGTCCATCTTCTGGGTGTTCCCGGATGGCTCCATCCTGAAAGCTCCGGTGGAGGATGAGCATGGCAGGTTCTCCATCCTCACCAGCGGCTGGCTGAAGATCAAGTCCACGGAGCAGTCGGACGCCGGCCTGTACCAGTGCATCGCTCGGGTGAGGGGTGAAACGGATCGAGTGGTGCACAGGGTCCTCGTGCAGACGCCTGCCGCGCCGCCCCCCGATGGACATACGGTGACCGTTCAGAAGGACCCAGGGGAGTCGGTGATGCTGCCTTGCCGTGCGCTGGCCATACCCGAAGCCCAGATTAGCTGGATCCTCCCAAACAGCAGGATACTTAACGATATGGCTAACACGTCCCACGCGTACATGTTGGCAGACGGAACCCTTTCCATCCCAAAGGTCCAAGGCAGCGACAGCGGTTACTACAGGTGCGTGGCGGTCAACCAGCAAGGGGCGGACCATTTTACCGTAGGGGTCACAGTCCACAGGAAAGGATCTGGCAGGTCATCCAAAAGAGGCAGGCGCCCAGGCGGGAAGACTCTTCCCAGGGGAAGGGGAGACGTCGTGGAGGACGAAGGGGGATCCGGCATGGCAGACGGAGACAGCGTGTCCAGGACGGCGCAGCTGCACCCGAAGGACCAAGAGATGTTCCTCAAAACAAAAGACAACGGAGGTATCCCCGGAGATCAGAAAGCCAAGAAGGGGCGAAGGAAACTGAAACCCTGGAAGAATTCTGAAAAGGAGCCGGAGACACACGTCGCTGAAGGTCGCAGGGCGTTTGAGGCCAGACGGAGAATAAACGTGGCCAACAAACAGATTAACCCGGAGCACTGGGCAGACATTTTAGCCAGAGTGCGCGGGAGAAACCCGCCTAAGGGCACAGAAGTACCCCCGGTCGTGAAGAGCACCACCCTTCCAGCGGTGAGTCAACAGGTGACGTCCCTTTCGCCCGCCGTGCGTCCCCCGTCAGCATCTCCTGTGCGGACCGCGACCAGCGTTGAAGAATCCTCAGGAGATGCACCCTTCTTTGGGGAGGAAGAGCAGGCGTCTAGCGCTGTTTCCTCCACCAAGAAGGCTCCAGTCGAGCACGGCCACGACGGGGCAGTCCCCGCTGAGCCCCACGTGACAAGCACGCGCCCGGAAGGACTTACCGACGACGAGTTTTCTGCAAAGACCAAGGCTGCGGCCCCCACTGAAGCTGACTTGAAGTGGGCCGCAAGCACAACGGCTTACCAGTCCTCTGCTACTCGGCCGAGCCTGGGCGTGGTCCGCGGAGAGCCCACCACTGGCAACGTAGCCACGGGGCGCTGGTCTGCACGAGGCGCTGGAGCCAAGCCGGGGCGTACGTCCAAGGAGTATGAGTCTCCCCTGGACGCCACCTCCTTGGCCGAGTCTGAAACGGTGCTCAGCTTTTACCCAGATCTGGAGACGAATTCAGTACCAGGTGGAGCTAAGGTGAACGACCTGACCGCTACAGACGTGACTGCAGCCCCCACCCCGGGGGTCGCTGACTCCAGGACGTCCGAGCCACTCGAAAACCCCACTTTAGCAGAGCCAGGTGTCCCAGCAGAAGCGCAGCTACAGAAGCAGACAGATGACCCGCAGCTTCTGGAAAACGGTTCGAGCCCTCAGGGCCACCCGCTGATGGAAAAGGACAGAGAGGGGGGGATCTCAGACACGGCCGGGAGGGGATCTGCACAAGGGAGACGCCGTGGACTCCAGAAGTCCTGAGAGCAGGAGGCCAGGTGCTGAGCCTTCCCCTCCACTTGACCCTGCGCTGGAAGTGACGGACACCGTCGCTCCCTTCCAGCGTCCCAGGGGAACCACGCGTGGCCCTCTGTGGGACGCGGACGCCACCACGGAAGCAACGATGCCGATGCCGGCCCAAACGGCCACTTCGCCGCCGGCCCTGACCACTCACGCTTCTCGAAAGAGGCCCAACGGCAGGAGACGACTCCGCCCCCACAGGTTCCGGCAGCGGCCCAGACAAGGCCTGCCCACGACGCTCGCCCCGGGGGAGACCTTTTCTGCTCCACCAGCGACGCGCGTACCCGAAATGCAGGCTCCAAACCCAGCGGCCAGTTTGCCGGTTCCCGCGACCGCGGCTGGCAGCACGGCTGGAACAGCAAAACAACTGGATGCGCAGAAGCACGCAGAACCCGCATCCAAGGGGACGCACCCACGCCGGAAGCACGGCAAGAGGCCGAACAAACATCGGCTCCCCACGTCCACGGACGGCCCTCCAGCTTCTGCGTCCAAGCCCAGCCCTGCCCCAGAAGACAGACACAAACACGTCGTCACCCCCAGGTCAGACGTTGTCCCCTCATCGACAGCCATCTCTCTCCCAACGGGGGGCCCACGTGAGATGAGCGGAGTGGAAGATTATAGGACAGCCACCACGAAAGTAAATTTATCTCATGATAAATTGCAAGGGACAATTCCTGTATCAGACGGAAGGGAAATGAAGAACTATGAGGTCACAACCGTCCGTGGCTACGAAACTGCCAGGCTCGTCCCCGGCGAGTCCGTCACGGACGTGGCGTCCCCTTCTGGGGCCGAGGTCTCCACGGTGGGCGGATTTAAGGCAGAATCCTGCCCTTTGGGCTTTGAAGGGAACGCGAGCTGCCGCCCCGCCACGTCGGCCCGGCCTGACAGGCTGCGGACAGACCCAACCGTCGCCAGCTCTTCAAACACTCTTACGGACTCGCCCCTTTTAAAAGAGCTGCAGGACGTAGATTCTCGTGCTGAGTTTTCACCTTTGGCCGCCACCTCTGCGCTGTTGCCGCAGGAAGACGTCACCACTTCGACGCCTCCCCCAAGCGTGAAAGTAGAGGCGTCTTCAAACCAGGCAGAGACCGCCCTCAGGGCGGAGGGCCATCCCGCAACCACTGCAGCCGTGACCCAGTCCGAAATTCGACCCCAGAGTCACGCGTCCCCACCG